TTCAGCTTCCCTGTCTGCATGGTGGGAAAGGAGCCATGAAACAACTGCAGACACACTTAATGCTGAGAATCTCAATTCACTCTTCACAAGATAGGTTGAAAACCTGAAATCTTGTTTCAGTCTATGCTAGCTATCAGATAACCTAATTTCTTTCAGGGCAGCTTTTTAGCTGACTCGCATCTTGGTGCGAGCCATGGTGCAAGGACTGTTCCACAGCCACCTTTAGAAAACTGCTGCTGTGGTTTCAGATGTAGCAAAGGACTAATCCCACTTCAGACAAGCATAAGGAGAGGGAGGGGAGAACAGAAACCCACTCTCCTCTCTTCACCTCCAATTGCAGCATTTAATGGTGTCAGTAGTGCAGTGGTCGAGTCTGGCTGAGAGGCTCTCACATAAGTTGTTCCATGGCAAAGAAGGAAATTCAGGAGATAAAAGCCCAGGCAGGCATCCCACCTGTGATTCTGTTCCCTTGGCAGGCACACCTGGCTTTAGGGAGTGTAAGGAAACTACAGCAAGCAGTGTGAATAACTTTTTTCCCTACACTAGTTCAGTTTAGATTTGCTGCCAATTTTTTTTTTTTTTTTTGGAGCATTGTTACAACACTTTGATACAAGAAAATAATCACTGATGGGAGCTAGTAATTATCTGTTGCAGAGATCACAAGAAAATAAAGAAATTATAAAGCATTGGCTGTGGCATAGCCCATTAACTTGATGCCTTCAAATTCTTCTCAGCTTTCATCTCTTTATTTTAGTTATTGCTACTCCTCTCTGTGTGGCCTCCTGTGGTTCCTGATCCCTTCCATCCAAAAGGCATATATTAAACCTTAGAACAGTGTCAGGCTTTTTCCCAATGAACAATTAAAAAAAAAAAAAGAAAAAAGAAAAATACAAAAAATGGACAACTTTTTAAAGTCATTGCCTAACCTTACCCTCTGGCTTATCTTACTTCCAGCTCCCAAACATCTCCTCTTCATAAAAGAATCAAATAGGGATTATTTTTGCTTTCATACAATGTGTCTTCCTGGTCTTATTCCAACACACATTTGTTGTCATCCTTGTAGAAATACAAAATGCAGCTGTTCTTTATAAGAACATGAAGCTTTAGCAGGAAAAAAACTCATGGGGCTCATATGTCTCTGTTCCTTCTAGTCCTAGTCTCTTCCTTTCATCCTTGGGATGAGAATACAGGCAATATGGCTGATTGAAGGACACTATAACCTTCTCTTTTCCAACCCCAGATGGCTAAAATGTTCCCCAGTTAACGCCATAAAGAGTCCTTCCTTGCAGCTGCCTTGATGCAATGACTCTCTCCATGGGACTGGTTTGCTGGTGACAGGACAGAGCTGTGTGCTCTGTGCCCCACCCTGAAAGCCTCCAGCTAAAAGAGCAAGGATTTGGATATTTAAGCAGCACATGCTCTCTAACCCTGAGCCCTGTGAATAATGACAAAGTTTAAGTGCCAAAGCTCTCATAGCTTGGTACTTTCGTCATCATGAGCTATTTCACTGTGATTAATTGCATTAGTGCTTCTGTGTGTCTCATGGCCAAAACCAGCCTTGATCTAAAGAGCCACCAGTTTTGGTGACAACTCATGCCCAGATTTTCACAGTGTGCTAAAATCTTTGTAATATCTGGTTCCATTTATACTGAAGAGGAGATCGGGCCTCTTAATGGGTCTAGCATAGTGAGACTAGAGAAAGTAATGAAATCCATGCTGGGATATTTCATTATCTTGCAGGCAATAAAAACATCAAAACAAAGCCATTCATTATCTTTCCTATTAGGGAAGAAAACAAGTGATCTATATCATTTAGATTATCTCATTGTCCTCCCTGTTCAAAAATGATAGCAGCATAATGAACATTAAAAAAGGCAATGTATATTATTCACTTGTTTCTTTCCACAGTAAGAAAGCAGTGCCTTAGAAGGAAGAATAAGCTTGAGGGCTCAGCTGCATAAAAATTGCCTATTTTACAGATCATTGCATTGTTAAGTAACATTATAGTGTAATTTGGCCTTTGGGATATAGTTTTACATAGGGTAGACTAGCACTTGCAATTTTTTTTTAATATTCTTTTCCCCCAAATATGTTACAGATACCCAAATTCAATATTTGTATTTTCAAATCTGCACTAAGTGGAAATGACTATGAGCATACATGACAGTAGGCTGCTTCTGCACGTCAATTCAAAACCATAGTTTTTTCTAAAGTGATACATTAAACACTTCAGAATTGCTCATCTCTACTCTCTATCTTTTTAAAACAGATTACAGGGTCTTTATGATAAGAGCTCTGTCACACTGACATGCCATAAGGCTGTGATTGTAGTAAGAGACTTGGGAGGTTTAAAAAAATACAATTATTATAATAATTTTTGTCCTGTTTTCATAAGAAGAAAATTATTTCTGTGACTGCAGCATTTTTCCCTATCCCTTCCTCAGTCTGTCAGTTCTTACAATTTTCAGGAAATTTTGAAAGTGCAGCAAAGATCATAGGTGTCAGAAATGTTGAATTCCTCCAAATTTCATGGAAATAGGTTAGAAATACCTATTAATAAAGGCAGTTATTAGTGCCAAAAGACACCAGAGAGTTGGGCAACACTGCTACCAAAGCAAGCCTTGGTAGGAGCACTTCTGGCCTGAAGTCACAGGCAACTGCTCTGGGAATCACCCCTCCTCTCTGATGGCAATGAGAATGCTTAAAAAGGGCATTTAATGTGCTCCAAAGCACATATCTTCCACAGCTGTCTAGAACACTGGGCACAAATAAAAATAACACCTGGGCTGCAGAGTCTTCATTGGTAGCATGGGAAAGAGACTCAGTATAGACACCATGTTTAATGAAGATTACACTAGAAGCAGACCCAGGCAACTCTGGAATAAGTTTAGCAGTGTTTGAATTCAACAAGGCTAGGATTTTACATCTAGGGAATGCCTTTTCACAGTTTCCATGGCATTTTTATTTCAATTAAGCCAAAATGAGATTCTAGTCTCCTTGGCTGTGGGAAATAAACTGAAGCCAAAATATGTTGCTTAGAGGCAGTGACTGAAATCAAATATAAATTCAGAAGAATGTGTCATTACATTGCCCATTTCTAGATGACTAAAGAAAACAGCATATAAAAGAGCAGGACCATATATTTTACTTTCAGACTGGATTCTCCTACGAATAAATAGCAAAATCCCCAGCTGGTAGTAAGGACAACCAGACTGTGTGAAAACAAAAATGTTCCTGGTTCCTCCTAATAAGAAATAGCCCTACAAAGAATAGGACCAGCACACATCATTCTTTACACATCACACTTGCAATATGACGTTTTTATTTAGTAGTAGAAATTAAAACTAGGAAGCAAACAGTGATATTTCATCTCAGATAAGGAGGGGAAATTCTGTGTCATGTTCTGGAATTCAATTCTTAATAAATGTATGCATTATTAAATAATTATTAATTTAGGCAACTAAAATGGTTAGTCTGTAGCAGCACCTCAGTCCTATGTTACAGATTCACTGTAATACACAAATCTTTAATTGTAATTTGGCAGTAGAAGGTCCTTTGTGGTAATTTGCCTTTAAAGCAATTAAGTCCTTAATGCCACTGTAGGATAAATTTTTCCTACCATTTTTAGCTTACCTGAAGGGAGAAGGCCAAGTGTTGCCTTTGGGCACCTGAAGCTGGAAGGAAGGAATGGGAACAAAACCTCTGCCTTGGATTTCTGAAGGGTGGACCTTGGGCTGTTCAGGACACTGGTTCAGAGAGTCCCATGGGAAATAGCCCCTAGGGTCCATGAAGGCAGGACATACTTTAAATAAGGAAATTTTGATGGCACGGGAGCAGCTCATCCCTGTGTGCCAAAAAGTAAGCCAGTGAGGAAAACCAGTCTGGCTAAACAGGAAGCTTTCCCTTGAGCTCAGGGGGAAAAAAGAGAGTTTAAAGTATTTGGAAGAAGGGGCAGGCAATTCAAGAAGAGTACAAGGATGTCATTAGGTCATGTAGAGAGAGAATTAGAAAGGCAAAAGCTCAGCGAGAACTCAATCTGGCCACTGCTGTGAAAGATAATAAAAAAGTGGTTTTATAAATGCATTAACAACAAAAGGAGGGCTAAGGAAAATCTGCATATTTTGTTAGATGTGGAGGCGAACATTGTAACCAAGGGTGAGAAAAGGACTGAGATGGAAAGGCTGGAAAATGCCTTCTTTGTCACAGTGTTCAACAGGAAGACAGGTTATTCTCTGGGCAACTGGCCCTGTGAGCTGGCACACAAGGATGGGGAGCAGAATAGACACGCTGCAATCCAGAGGACGTAGTCAGTGACCTGCTGTGGCACTTAGATGCTCACAGGTCTCTGGGGACAGATGGGATGTGGGGAGCTACAGGCCTGCCAGCCTGTCCTCAGTGCCAGGCAAGGCCATGGAGCTGCTCATCCTGAGTGCCATCGTGTGGCACACACAGGTCAGCCAGGGATCACGCCCTGCCAGCACCGCCAGCAGGGAGGAGGCAAGTCCTGCTTGGCCAGCCTGACCTCCTCTGATGACAAGGTGACCTGCCTGCTGGGTGAGGGGAAGGTGTGGATGTGTCTGCCTGGAGCTCAGAAAACCCTTTGCTGCATCTCTCACAGCGTTTTTCTGGAGAAGCTGGCAGCCCTGGTGGCCTCCACGCTGGGTTAGGAACTGGCTGATGGCTGGGCCCAGGAGTGGTGGTGAATGAAGAAAAATCCAGCTGGTGGCTGGTCACTCTCAAGGCTCATTATTAGTCCTATTTAATACCCTTACCAATGATCTAGGTGAGGAAATCAAGTGTACCCTCCCTCAGTCAGTTTGTAGATGACACCAAGTGGTGCAGGAGAGAGTGTTGACCTCCTGGAGTATAAGAAGGCTCTGTTGAAGGATATGGATTTTTTAGGTGAAGTAGTGTTTTTATTAGATCAAGATATATTATTGGGAAAAACAAACTAAATTTCAAGTACACAAACAAGTACATCTCCTTCAGATGACCCGAAAGCTTGTCAAAACACTTCTAAACAAGTATTTTAATTTCATGAAAACAGTTACATCTGCCACCAAGTTTGCTTCTCCTCTAATTTCACAGTCAAAGTGCTAATCCATGTGCAAAGCAAAGCAGATGGTATTATTTTAGACAGCAGCAGACACTCATTCTTTTATCAAGTTATGTTCCTGAACACTACAGCAAATATTACCAGCATTTTTTAAGCCTGTACAGTAGAAACAAAAATAACATAAATTAGCAGCCTTGTAAATTAAGACTCCTTACTGTTAAAGAACAGAACAGATTGGGTAAGGGTCTTTCATCTTTTTCACACTCACATATTCTTCTCACACAATGACATGACCAACAGATGTTGAACAAATCATCTTGGAAAAAGCTGTTTCAGAGGACTGCCACTGGCACATTTTAATTTTTACCTAGCTTTTTACTTTATACATTCATATTTTAAGCTATGATCTTGGTTGAACTTCTACATTTGCAGCACTGCAATAATATAAAAAGCACACAAGCATGACCTTTGTGTGATTCCTCTGACCCACCCTAGTAAGCTTTCTGTCAAAAGTCTCAAATAAAACAATCCCAGGAGTTCTTCTACACACTGCACATATTAACAAGCAATCAAGTCTCTGTTCCCCAGCAGTCAGAGCTGCATTACCCTGAGTAAAGAGCAGATCATTACATTTATAGTCTCATCCCTAATTGACTTAGTTATGTGAGTAGCAAATCTCCTAGTTCATGCCCCTCAGGAGGTGTGATTCTCTCCTGCTCACAGTATTACGCTGCTATCTAACTTCGTGTAGCCAGGAAAGCTCTGTACCTTCAGTGAATGGGAGAGAAATCTTTGTTGGTCAAAATCTTTCTTTCTTAAAGCTCATGTGGGACTGAAAGGAGACACTCTCAAGAGTGATATCCCTGTAAGTTTGTAAACAAAATTTTGGCAGTAAGATAGCATACACAGAAACATCTTTAAATTGTTAACCTGCTTCAAACTCAACTATACACTGGTACTGTCCAAATTTTGTGAAAGGTGGCACATTGTGCTCCCAAGACTAAACACAGGGGAAGTACATTAGCCAGCCACACGCCTTAGAAGTCAATGTTTTGACTGTTCAAAATTTTGGATGCCTTTTCAATTTCTCAAACCTAGAGACTCAACCAAGACATATTATTAAGCAGGTATGTTATAAAGAGTTCAAGCTCTTCCAGGTATTGGAACTATGCTGAGAACAGTTTACTTTTATGTGTACAGGCTTCCTTCTATCCCTTTTTGGGAGAAAATATATTAAAATCCTGGGTAGGACAGATGATGAGTAGCATATCCAGCAGAGGAAAAGATAATAAGCTAGTGCCTGAGGTTGTGCCTAGCAGAAGCACAAACTGGAACAGGCTCTTACAAGCCAGCAGGGACAATAAACTGGATGGATGAAGCAATGATGCAGCAACTTCCATCCATGGGAGACAAGAAAGAGGGGAGGTGCTGTCACTCTGTTCTGCTCATCTGTGCCACTCCAGAGAAAAGGGTTCAAGACTTACTTGCCCAAAACCAGAAAGTCTCTTTTTTATGGCACTGGTTTAACAAATGGGAGTCCTGTGCTCTGGCTCCTTTTCCAATTACAGTTTCTGTCTTTTGTTCAGTATCTGTTTAAAATTCATACACAGTCTAAAGACATGGGCTCAGGTGCTCTCCTGTGGAGGCTCTCAGTTCAGCCACAGAGAGCACAGGATTCTCCAAGGCTTCAGGCCTGGGAAACTTAGAGAGAAAGAATTTAAACAATTATTATCTCTCTTTCTGTTCATGTTCATGTTTATAGATATGCTCTATTACAGTGTGCTGCTATTCATAGTTCACCAATAGTGTGAAAGGTTTTTACTTTGAAATCAATGAGGTCTCACCTTAGTAAGGATGCTACTCCTTAATAATAAACTCTCTTTTTCACCTTCTAGGACTTGGAGTCTTTTCCTCCTGTCCCTGACTCAACAGCATCACTCTTCCTCCCTCCCTCTCAAGGAACCTCTTGTTGCCTCAGCTGCAGAATCATTTCCTTGCTGTTTTTCCAATACAGAACCAGTGGGGATTTTGGCAGATGGCCCTGATATTAGGAGAGCCATGCACATTGGTACTGAGAACTGGCTTTAACCTGGAGGAGTGGGCAGCCCCCAGAGGAGAGGGGGCCTGGCTGCTTCAGAAACCTAGGAGGAAACTGGTCAGGTCTCCTACATCCTGGGGGAGTGCCCTGGGAAACTGTTTGTTATTTTTCCAGGGAGGGAGGCACTACAAGACAACTCATGATGACAGATTCTGCTGCTGCTGCGTCTTGTGTGGAGCTGGTCCCAGCAGGGGCAGTCAGAGATGTTTACCCAAGCACCCACATGACACACAGGGACAGGTCCCCTGGGCTTCAACAAGAAAGGGTTTGACTAACACAAAAATGGGGTTGAGGCCCAAGAGAAGAATGAATTTTGTATTCTGGGGATGTTCAGGCTGTCCAGGGGTGAGACTGCTCAACTGAGCCCCCAAAACCAGGGATCCAGATACATCTGGCTGATTAGTAACAATGAGTAGATGGTAGTGACTGATTCCCAGTTTGGCAGCTACACCTATCAGGACCGATCAGGAATAGAATCAAACCCCTCACAACAACAACAAAAAGGCTGATAGGAAGGTGAATACAACATTCATAAAAAGGCATTCTGTGGCAGTGTTCTTCCCTGGTTGGGTCCAGAACTGAACACCAGGTTTTAGAATGAATCTTCAAATTTTATTTCCTGAAAAGGATCTGAGGTCTGGTGCACAACAGCTGCTGTGAGAAATCAATCACGTGTAGTAAGAAGGTTTGCTCCAAATCTGCACTATTTCTCCAAACTGCAAATCTATTCTTAGGCAATGAGGATCATGTTCCAAAGGTAGTACAAGCAGTATTCAAACAAAAAGACCTGAGGTCATATTTTTATTGCTCAGATTGACTCTGTGAAATGAGGGATTATTGAAGCTGCTATTGGATGAGGATATGTTATGCAGAAACTCAGAGCAGACTATCCTAACTATTCATTTAAATATATGGAGTCTTGGATTATGCTTTAATCCAAGACTTGGCTTGGTCCTTAAGTTATCCAAAACATGCTACTGTGAGCTTCAGTAGCATCTCCCAACTTTTAAATTTCTTAAATTATTAACTGAGGGTCCATAGATGTATAAAAGATAGCCTTACAATTCCAGGAGCATTCCTGAAACACACGTCGTCCACACTTCAGGAAAAACTGGTTTTCTAGGCTCTGATCCAAATTTGTGAGAGCATGTTACCAGGAGTCCAATAAGGCAACCAATTTCTTCAAATGAATTAGGATGTTACAAGCAGGGAAAATATTCCATATACAAACAAATCATCAAAGTCTAAAGATTAAAGTACACAATTTTTACAAGATGAAAGACATTTTAATAGACTTTATTCCAGCAGTAGGTCAGCTAGGTCACAGCAGGATGTTAAATCCTGCAATCCATGAGGTATTTTAGAGAGCAAGAAACCAGACAGTATTCAAGATTACTTACTTTTATATGAATAAAGAACAATAGAACTGGTCCACTTCTATGTTCCATGAAAAGTTAATTCACATTAAAAAAAAAAAGTTAATATTTACAGCTAAAATCAAGACAATCAACCAGAGACTGGAAAAAACAGCATTTCTGTAATTGCTATTCAGAAGGAATTTCCAACTGAGGCAACATAGACATTTTCTTTGGACATCTAATAGATGTAAATATTCTGAGCCATTTTAGGGGAGCCCTACAAATATGAGCCTGCTGCATAGTAGAACATATGCAGACTCTTTTCATGTGATTATTTTAGATGAGCTCTCAATTCATTTCACCTTGTTAGCACATGCCAGTTACCAATTCAGACACAACTGAATACCTGAAACATCTGGATAGTGCCAAATAAAGGGAGAAATATCTGAGATACTAAGTTCAATGTCATCAAATTCTCAGGCTGCCACCTGAGAAAATGTCAGAAATCCCTGAACAAAGTACCAACCATGCCAACAGTGAGGACAGGGTGAAGTGATAAGAGAAAGAGGTTGTCTGGAAGTTATCTCAGAGCTAACAGCTACCAATTCACTTTGCTATCAGGGAAAAACTAAGCACAGTATGGGATAAAATACTGAGGCACAGAAATACACCACAACTCCCATGCAGATCTCTCAGGTGAAAAGACTCCTTCTACTTGTGTGCAAGGATGAGGTATTATTCACTCCTAGGTACAGAAACAACAATATAATTTGTTTACTTCCCTGTCAAGCTCAGTGAGTTTCTGCAGCATGCTGGAAGAGGCCACATGTTCTCCCAAGGGCAATGTTTTTCTGATTGCCCCTTGCTCCATCTCACTCCCTTTCTCAGCAGATTTTGGTCACCTCACATATGCAGATAGCAAAGTTGTGTGCAGTGGCAGCTGTAACACAGCTCTCCTGAGGAGGTTAGCCCAGGTTGGGAAGTCATTTGTTGCTCTTATACTTGACTCTCCTTTATCATCCTCCACATGATTTTTGGGCAGGAAGAGCCTGCCCTTACAATTGTTGACAATCTGTCTTTTTTTTCCTGAAAACTTCCTTTAGCTTTGGGCTGCAATTCCTGCTTACACAGGTTCTTGCAGAGAACTCAACCTCTGCTTTTAAGGTATTGCTCAACACTTCCAGTGTCTTCCTGGAAAGCCAGGGCTGAGATGCCTCTGCAGGATTTCCAGAGAAGTATGCCAGTCCCATGAATCTCAGGTCACAGTAAGCCTTTTTGGTACTACTCTGAATCAACAGTCACACTCTGATATTAATATGGCTTCAGAAAAACTGCAACCTAATGCAGCATCTGGCCCTCCCTCCCACGAGAACTGCCTGATGAGGAATAGTCTGTTTGGTCAAGCAAATCCTCTTCCTTAGATCCAAGCTCTGCAGACGTGACACACTAGCACATGAACGTTATGTCTCCAAGCAGTCAAATAAGGGGAAGCAACCTCAGCTTCGGGGTAGTACATGTTAAGCACGTTAGGCAGGTGCTAAAGGAGCTCCCCTGTAAAGCTGACAGTGAAACAGGAACCCACGCTGCTGAGATGCAATACCAGACTGGAGACACTCAGTAAGATACAGCTCTGTCCACAGAATCAGTCAAGTGCAATACCTACCCTGCAGTCCCATCCAAACTTGAATGCTGCTCCCCTTCTTTACAAACAAGTGCAGCTTCATGTAAATGATGAATTCTTTCTTTAACATCACAGTTCACAATTGGTACCAGGATTCTTTAGCAGGTACCCAAACACTTCCAAATAACACAATTTATTGAAAATGTTTTGAAAATACATTTGCACGTTACAGACAATCTTAGGAAATTCTTCAGTTTTCACAAAGCAGTGGCCAGTGTCTCTCATTGGGAAGACATTCAGTGGCACCAATTCTGCTGTCAGTGTTTCTAAGGCACATATTCACAAACTACTTTAGGAAAGTGTGGCCATAAAAATACATTTTATGTTTCATTACCATTAAAGCTTCTTTTAGTGAAAAGAAAAATTTGCTGTGTAACCTGAGACTTTCTAGAGCAATGCACAGCTCTCAAACTTGCTGTTTTACAAAGTTGTAATATGGAACATGGTGCTTCTTATTTTGGTGTGGATATTGACTTTTGATGAATTAAAGAAGACATTTTACCCAAAACCAAAATGAAACCCAACTCTCAAAATTCAGAATTTTTCTTTATAAGAAAGTGTGCCCCAAGCATCTGGAGCCCCTCAGTTACATAGCTCAGGTTCACCTTCTGTGACAGGTTTGGTGATGCCCCACTGCTAACAGGATCCTTACACCCTTTACACCTTAATGCTGCCCTACACCCAGAGCAGCACCTCTCACCTTCCTCTTCTGTCTCCGTGGTTCAAGCTCCAGTCCTGGCTTTGACTGTGTTGTGATGCAGTGGAACAACTTGTGATTTCTAAATTAAAACATTCATTCCATTCTATTCAGGAGTAAGTGCCATGATGATGGAGTGATCATAGGATGCAGGAAGACAAGGGTGAACCTTACTTAATTTGCTTCACACTTATTTACTGCAACTAACTGAGTGTGGCACAGCTGGAGCCCAGATAACACCCCAGGTTTATGACTGGTTTTCCTACAACTTTCACAAAAGTGTTAAAACTGGAGTTTAATATATGACCGTGTTTACTTTCTCTCTTACAAAATACAAATATGAAACCACTTCTAATATCACTTCTGTAATTTTGTAGGTTAGAATTATGTTCAGCATTATCAGTCTTCCAGGAGAAATACAGCAAATGAATTTATGTGAAATCAAATTGCTTGTAAAAGCAAAGTGAAAAAACTTGTATCCAACATTAATTACTATAATCACATACAGCTGAGATACAGCAACCATTTTTCATTTGTACATATTGAACAGCAAAAAAGTAATAAAAAATATATATACAAGCTTAATAGGAAAAAAACCTGAAATGCTTTTCTGCTGCTCAAGAGAAAGACAATTTTCTCTTAAATGCTTTAGTGCGTCCCCCGCTTCATTCCCAAGAATTAATGCATTTTTCTTCCTGTTCCAAGGCAAACTGAAACCAGTCAAATCTTCCTTCAAATCAAGAAAGCTGTGAACTAGTGAACTGATACATATTCACCTGAGATCACTCTGAAATATATGACAGGATAATAATGATTAACAGCTAAGGTGCAGAATTGTTTGGTAACTTTTGAAACAGCATTTACACAGAACAATTTTTGCTACAGAACAGTAAAACTGTCATCTCTAATGAGAATTATTGAACATAGTAGAGAAGAAACAGTATGAGAACTGCAAGCAGCTTACTCTTCTACTTTCTTCTATTCAATATTGTCATGTTCCCAAGTTTCTGTAACACAAAAAGAGGGAAAGAAGAATAAATGTAAAAATATCAATTATTAAAAATATTTAATCTTAAACTCAGTTTATTTCATGCTTATGTAATTTTCACTCAAATTTGTTGACTCATTTCAAAATAGTCCTATGTAATAGATGTATTTTATCCAAAGTGAAACCACAAAGCCAAATATAATCTACAGGCGTATCCAACTCTGATTAACAGGTAGAATTAAACATGAGATAAAATAAAGCCAATGCTTTTCTCATTCTTTGATATCTGGATTTAGTTCTTTAATCTTTTCCAGAGTAATTCTGTTGAATAACAATTGTTATCCACTTGTGACATGTTCAAACTAAATCAGCTTGGCTACTGATAACCACTTAAAAGCATGTCAAAAGTGCATTTGTCCAAGCACTGAACAAGTCATGCTGCAACAGTAAACAGAGAACTACCATTCATAAATTCTACTGTGGAAAGCAAGGGCTTCTCCCTTGTGTTGGTCTTAAGAAACAGAACCATTGTGATGCTTGGAGGTGGAAAGGATCCAGGTAAGAGTGAAAAGGAACATCTTGTCTACTTTTTGGTTATTTTAAGGCATCAGTACTGTATGTACATGTACCAGGTCATTAAATCTCTTAACATTCTGTTCTTTGCTCTCATGATTTGGGGATGGATCATTATCTTTAACATGTAGTACAGGAGAGCAAAAAACAATTCAATTGAAAATCACAGAAGAAACCCATGCATCTAAGGACTGAACTCCAATTTCTAGGGTCTCATGCCATTATTTGGATCAGGAGACCATCAGGCAGAAATGCTGGTTTCATGTAGCCTTAATTGTCTGCTTGGCACAGCTGCTTAGTGTCAACACCATGTGAGACATAATCAGAGGGGAAAGTTGTGTCCTCCTTACGGAAGTGCTTAGAAATATCAAGAAGCTGAATGAGAGTGTCATGCCAGCCCCAGCTCTGATGAATCTGCATAGGAAAAATAAAGTAGGACCAAATTTCAAGCCCAGATCCTGCAGAGATCAGGTGTCTGACAGGAAATACAACTTCCAAACTAAAAGGAAATCTATTACTACCATGTTTACAGCTGAATAAACAATCAATCCAACATCACTCTGGCAAAGCCTATGGCAAACAAAGCTATAATTTTATAAAACCTGTTTGTATCTCTACCATTCTTCAGATCAAATACAAGTATTTATGTTGGGATGTCTTCATCATATCAATGCATCAGATGCAATTACAGATGAATATTAAGGCAAAATAAAAAGTAATGTCTACACAATGTAGTTGAAGTTATTCCAAATTGTAAACTGAAGACACAAAAAAATAAAGTATAATTTAAAGAATTATTTTTAATCTATCTTCAAACACTAACGACTTGATTTTGTACAGCATCCTACATAAAAGACTTTAAGTACCCAAAATACTTATCAGACTTTAACATCTCAATTTCAGAGTTAAGCAGCAGAAGAGGAAAACAATTAAATGCTACAGACAAGAAAGAAGACATAAGATCTCAGAGGGGACTTGAAACAAATGCAAAAATTAAGTTAACTTTATCTCCTGTTTTAAATCTAGAATAAATCAGTGTCATAAAGCACTATCAAAACATTTCAGTTTACCTCAATAGCATCATCCATTTCTGTGCTCTCATATAATCATTTCAGCTTGTGTCAGAATAAGGAAACTCTTTTTCTGGAGAGCTGTCATCACTTAGGTCACTGTAGCTGTCACTGTTGGAATCAATAAGAATTCAGAAAGATCTAAACCAAGTATTTTTTTCAAGCCCTCCAACCCATGATGCATATGATCAACAATTTCCTCAAATGCAAGCCATTTCCAGAAAACTTCTTTAGGCTCAAGCTAAAAAACATGGTCTTTTAGAAACCTTCCTCTAAAGGAATGGGCTGAAGTTTGGAGTTTAAGACCTGATGTGAAATAATGCTCTACCTGATATATAGTATGTTTGATTTCTTTTTGCTTGACTCCTGTACATTCATTCTGCATTTTGCTGGTGCTGCATGTCTATGATCATGGTTAACAAGATAGATAATAACAGGTATTCAGAACTAAAATAAAAGGAATTTCTCCCTTATGGTAAAGAAGATAATTGTTTTAACACACACACACAAAAAAAAAAAAAAGTTAAGACAACTTTATTAGATCACAAGTCTACGTCTAAATTACAGTTCTTGCTCTTTTAGTTAGAACACAAATAATCTTCATTGCACTAAGCAATATCCTGACAGTTTTTCTAGAGGTTTTATCCCCTTTTGTTGCGTCCTGAGAGACGCAGACTGGTTTTCAGAGACCCAACTGCCATGCAAGTGATTGTTTTATGAGTGGTAAGAACAAGGAAACAGTGAACAGGAATCACCACAGTGACTGAGAGAAAGAAGTGCCCACAAACCACATTTTCAGTCAGTGTGATTGATGTCTATTGGGTCTCCAAGATTATCTTAAATTTAAGTGTGCTTCAGAAGTGCCTCCAGCCTCAACCCTTCCCTACTACACTTCACTTCTACAGTCTGTTTTCCAGATATTTTAATTTCCCTAGATGAGAAGCCAGCAAAGGCAATCCAGGGAACGGGTAAGTACATTTGAGCAGCAGTAATTCTGGTCAGTCCTGTGACCCTTCAGAGCACAGGCCATGTTCAGCACAGCACAGTGGGGACCTCAGACCTCATTTGTTGGGAACATGATGACAGCCTTGGCTGCCAGCTCTATGCAGGCACTGACTGAGCAGCTGTCTTGTCACATCTCCCCTTCACCACACACCCCTTCATCCTCCAGACAGCAGGACCCCTCTCATGTCGTGTTCCCCATCTCTGGGCATGATCTCCTACTGAGACATCAAGCACATGGCCCACCCAGACAGAGCCTTATCAGTGTTTGCCTGCTGGGTGCTGCTCCAGGGAGCCATGCAGCCCTGCAGCTGGAGGTCTTTGATGAGACTGCCCTGTGGAACACTGAACCAACTGCACTCAGCTACTCTGCTGCTTTGTAGCCTGAATTTCACCCTCTCTTCTTTGAGGGAAAAGGACAACCGAAGAAAGAATAAGTAAAAAAACCAAACATTTAAATAGAGTGGGACGGGAGGAATGGCACCATTTCCTACCTCTGCTAGGAAAGTTTCCCACAGTTACAGTGAATCACTGTACCAAATTTGTGTAAAACAGTATGGATTTCTGTCTGTTCTAACATTAAGCATTCTGCCCTCTTCTGCATGACACACACACTGCTGATGTGCTTCTTATAAAGGGTGTGTCATATCAGGCTAGTGTGAAATGTTCCATTTGATCATTTCATCAACTGGTGATCAATTACAGTTCAAGTGAGGAAAGTGTTGTTAACAGTATGATCAAGCATGCCAGATGCACACAGACAAACACAACATCACCAACGTTGTACTTACTTTTTTCTGAAAGTACCCATGGAAACATGGAACAAAAATTCAGTATTATTAAAACAGTTTTGCATTTTCACATCACAGCAAAATAGCAAATACTGTCCACAGAACAGAGAGTGAAACTGTAGAGAACTGCATAATCTTATGACAGCATGATTTAAGTCCAAAGTCTTCAGAGAACTTATTTTTTTTTAATTAGCTCTGCTGTCCAGTGGCAATCCCAGCCCAAAAACATGCCAGAGTTCTGTAAACAACACAGTATGGGAGTCAGATGCTTAAGTAGAAGTGCTCACCAACCAATGGGGTGAGTTGACAACTGCCCAGCTTCATCCCTTGGAGGCAGTCAGATGCTGATCCCCACCCAGCACTCTCCTCATAGGTCCTCCCCCACTCAGTGACACAGGCTTTAGAGGGATTTGCTCACAGAAGTAGTCAGACAGCCTGGATGCTTCTGTGATTTCACTGACTTACCACCCAAACTTCTTAAGCCTGTCTGCAGTTTGCTGAAGCTGAGGCTCATTTGGCCACTAGTGCAGAGGCTAAAACATTTAACTCAGCTAATGACAATTTTGTTCCTGTTCCCATGCTGCCCAATTTCAGTACAAGATTTGACACCAAATCCCAGAGAAGGGCTGTCCTCGTCACATTCTTGACTTCTGCAGTAGCACCTCAGTCTCCCCTACTTTAGGGCTGCTCTATGGAGTGTAAGTCAGTTTTATGTCTCACAAGCAGGCCACAGGGCAAGAAAGGTAGGAGAAATACCCAGGTATGGATCAGCCCTTGGGCTCCAGACTCAGGTGGTTGTCAGTCTCAGTTTCAGCTGCTTGATTTGTCTACCAGAACCTGTGGCATCATCTTAAAAATAACTACTTGGGTCCCAAGGAAACCTGAACTTCAAGAGTTAGGCTGCCAGTGGACTTCTTGAAAGTAAACAGGGACTCGTGAAACTTGGCATATCTACATCTGTGTGTAACAGCTTCAAAGCAGCACTGGTGTCAGGTTTCTAAGATTTACTCTGATGTCAAACATATTAGTATCATGTGTAATCTGAAGGAAAACTGTAGGTGGCATTAACCAGAAGCAAGCTATCTTTTTACTTTGGAATAAATGTGTACTTTGTTCCAAATTACAATAAGTTGTACATAGATACTAAACACAAAACCCAAATGGATGCTTCGTGCTCACAGCTGGTAATATTAAGTAACCTCACTTAAATCTGTCTGTGAAAGTGGTGATGATAAGAAATCAAAAAAGCCCACATTTCCTTAATGAAATTATTTTTCACACTGAGCCAGCCACTGAAAAAATATGCTTACATTTTCTTCAGCAGGTTTTTTCTTAGTTTGTGTTCAAATTAATTAGTAATTCTCTTGTGCAGGAGCCTGACACCCACTTCATCTTATTTGTAACAATTCTTACAACAGTAGACTCCAACAAAAAGGAGCTACTGAGCATATCTGAGGCCAGCAATTCTAAGACCTAACCCCAACAGGTTTTTGTTTGTTTGTTTTTGTGGGACCTCAAGTATAAACTGGCGGCCAAGGAAAAAACCATAACAAAACTCAATGCAGTGTCACTGGATCTAGTTAGTCATTGTAGTCATTATGATGAAGAATATTGGTCACTTGGCTTCTGTAAAAGTACTTAGTGAACTTTCTGTTTTTCACTTGGAAAATCCAAATCAATATTCTTTAGAAATAAAGTATTTGGCAGTATCAGGGAAACTTTTTTTTCATTCATTTTTAATGTACAATTGACAAAAAACTCCTTTTCCAGAAACATAAGGTATTAAAACAATTACTACAGTAATGCTATGCCCTGTAAGGAGCCAAGCTAAGTGCACTTCTTCCTCAGTGCAAATTAAAGATAGATGAAGTACAGATAAATTTAGTACAGGCTGCAGTTTTTTAAGTTGTTTAACTTCTGAGGACTCAGCAAAAGGTCATCTGCAAATTATTATAATTTATTTCCCCCCAAAAAAGCTGAATTGTTAAAATTATTATGTCATCAAAACATTATTTTTAATAAATGCATATTTGATTGTGCAATGGTTAGAATTGCAGTCACCCTTATTCTTGGTACATATTTTTATGATCATTACATAGTCATAAAAATCATAGATATAATTTGTGGTCATAAAAATTTTATCTCTCATTTAAAATTATGGTCATCATGATACAACCCTATGATTCCATAAAATATCATTTCATTTGGGAATCCCTCAGCACAAACCCAAAACTCCCCATTTCTGACCTGTGAACTGCCTGCCCTCACATGACTGGACCTAGGATAATATCTTCATCTGGTACAGGCACCAGCAGCTCCCTACAATCACTGGAGAGAAATAGGCTCTGGCAGTGTGTAATGCATAACTGACCCACAAAACAGTTATAATGAGCTACTTGGTTCCTAAAAGTGCACTTTCACTTAACAACTGCAGAAAAAGGTTTGAGGTCACTAGCTCAGAAGGGTTTTTACTGTAAACATCTAACATTTCAATGACAAAGTTAACTGACATAACTAGCCACTACTAAGTGCCGGTATGGTTTAGAAAGGATCTCCTTTAAAACTTTTCTGTAGTTTTCTGTAAGAGCTCTGAGGGTAACAGGGCCTTTGCTGTCCCAACCATCCCCAGCTGGGACCTGCACCACTGGAAGGTCACTGGAGCCAGAGCACTTGCCTTCTGTGTGGTACTGAGGACACCATCCCCACCAGGACAGCTCCCACCCCTGGCTCCTGGAGTGCCACCTTTCATGGAGCAGCCCCTCTCTTGTTGCTCTCCTGACAATCTTCAAATCAAATTTCCATCAAATCACATGTCTGGATTTGTCCAATGGCAGAAGCATGATGCTGTGCCAAATGTGTTCTAGACTGGGGATAACGTACAGGGGACATCAGGCACCAGAATGTGTCACACAGGCTGTTTGCTGTTCTATTCATAGGTGCTTTCCTCCACAGCTGATCTGAGAGATAGCTGGACCATGCTAATGCAGTAAGCACCATATGGGCAAATTTCCTGAGTTTTTTGGTGTTTTATTTAATGCACCATTCTTTCTCTTCTCTGGCCTCTTTTGCTCCTTGTCTCTGAACACAGCTCATATGTCATTTTTCATTAAATTTTTTCTCAGAACTCCAAAGAGTACTCTGTGACTAGATGGTATTGGATTGGTGCTTCACATTAGCACATTCACTAATGCTTTGCAAAGTTTTTTTTTCTTGGCAGTAGTCAGGGTTGCCTATGCTTGCTCACTTAGGAACACCTCTCATTTTCTACATTTCCTCCCTTATACTGGATATTTGTGTTTAAATTATTTATCTTTAACTTCTTATCTTCTTCCTCCAAAGATGTCATTATATTCAGCAGAGATTACTAAATTCTCTACATATTTTTTGTTACTTCTTTGTTCTGAAAGCGCTTTCAGCTCTTATTCAAAAGACATTATTTGCAAATATAATTAATGCACTCAGGCTTACTCTTGCAGGCCACTAATAAAGGTGCTGGTTGTAGACAAATAAGAAATAAAGCCTGCTGATGCTAAACTGGATAAGGGAAAAAACCAAACCAAACCAAAACAAGCAACATGGCTTTATTGTACACCAGTGGCTTTGCAACCCATATTATGCTGTTCCCAAAGACAAGTAAGTTTTTATTAAAGTTTTCAAATTAAACTACGTAAGTCTCGGTAAAAGCCAAGAACATTACATGTGAAGTTCCCCTCTTCATCCACTTGTTTCCTATTAAGATCCTTTGTTTTCTCTTTTAAAGCAGTATATTTGTGGGTATTGTACACTTTGAGTCTCATGTAGCTTTGGTTTTCTTTGTCCTTGAAAATGTAAACTGGCAGCCTCCCACCACATTTCTCACTTCTGTATGAAATGGTGACTTCAGGATTTCCATGGAAAGGTTTGGAAAAGGCCATGATCTAAAACCATTCACAAGGAAATGAAGTGTAAGGCTTTGATGGTTGGGCACTCATGCCATAAAGCACAAGAAGCTGAAACCACAAAGGCAACTTGGTGCCCAATTAGTACTTCGGGTAAATAAGGAACAATTAATCACTGAGTTACTCTGATCCTTTGGTCAGTTTTTGACTGTCTCTTGGTGTATACACTGATGTTTCTAGGAATTAAATTCCTCCCAGAGGATGCATTCCAGTCTCAATCCAGGTATGCTCATGCCTATGTGAGCCTATGTCTAGGACTAGGCCTCACAAAAATTTAAGAGACAGCTTACTCACTTTCATTTATTTAGGGCACTCTCCCAGAAGTTGTAATGCATGCTTGAAGTTATTAGTAGCTTTGCTTATGAGCTAGGGCTTCTATCCAGGTGTCAAATATTCTAAAATTACACCCTAATTATGGGGCTATTAAATGTCCTGGAGTAATAGTTTCCTGTTAAACTCTCATGGTGAAATACATATTTCCTTTTGTCTCAGGACTTCATCATTCACTCTCTTTTTAGTGTTTATGGTAGCCTTGCATAGGTAATCTGTTCAGCTTGCTGGTCTCCAGAAATTCTCTCACAGCTTACTTTGCTCTAGTCCACAGCATGACTAAAACTCATGTGGGTGGTGCTGGATGAGGTGTGCAGAAAAATCCTCTCCTCAGATTTCTTTCAGCCTTGCTTGGACATGCCTTAGCTTCACAACTCAATGAAATCACCAGCATTCTGGGGTTTAAAGGTTTACACTGGAAAGCTTTCCACCCAGCAGGTGGGTATGTCAATATGAGTGTGTGTGCTGTAACTAACACTGCAATTCTCTCCTGAACATTCTTCTGTATAAAATCTTCCTCTTTTAGCCTCAGAATACCTTCCTATTCCAGTGATCCTTCTCAAGACACAGGGTATTGCTTGATTGCTGTGAAACTAAGTAAATAGCAAAATCTGCAATTTTATAGATTAAGTTTCGGAGTGTGGATTTTTGTCTTTGCTAAATGTTTGAGATTTGGTAGGAGTTTTTTTTATGAATATGAAGAAGAAGAGTTGGCTATACATTTTGAATGATTAATTCAAGTAAATCCAAGGGGGGCAAATTCAGCAATGGCTGAAGCTTTAGGTCAGGGTTAGATAGAATACTTGTTATAATGCTAAGGGATGTGAATTAGCAGGATGCATACAGAGCACTCATTAAAAACAGTAATTTTTCTTTATCTCCGTGAAATAAATAGGGTTATGGGGCCTATTAAGTGAGATAAAGTGTGAGTCAGAGTGCCCACCAAGAGAGTAAGGCTGAAGATCACTGTGCTAGAAGACTCTGCCTTGCCAAGCACCACAAACATTTGATCTGTGTATTGCACCAGCACACCTTTTAAAAGGCAGCTAATGTTGTGACTGCTTCTAACAATAACAGGCTAAGGTAACAGGAGTGTTTCAATCAAGCTGTGGTTTGCAGATCAGAAATTCATTCTCTTTGTATGTATGTCACTGCACAACTGGGCAGAGTGAATAAAAATTGATACCCATGAAGGAGTAGGGAACCAAAACAGATTGGTCTGGTCTGGCTTGGCTGTTTTCTATTACTACTCAAACTTGAATAAAATTTCTATTTCTCTCGTAACAAACAGACCTTATTTTAACAGAATTCAAGACTCAGGGGAAAAAAAAAAAAAAAGCCCAACCTTCAGAATTAATAAGTTTGGTGTCTTGTTGAGAGGAAAAGCCAACATGCCAGAGTTCAATGTTATTATTAAGTAATTTTATGATTTTTTAAATTTTTTTCTTACTGTGCCCAAGGCTTCTCTCCGATTTCTTTATTATTGCTATTATATTGAAATTTCTACTGTTATTAATATCAATGACATAGACAAGAATTAGTTAACCCTGGCTAAAAAAACATTTGTACCTTCAATAAACCAAAGCCTCTGTGTCCAAAAGACCAAGCATAGTTTTGGCTGGACCATCCAGTTCTGACCTAGATCCAAATCCTTCTGTAAGTCTAAAGGTATCCCAACTGTTTTATTTCAGGTCTGTCTCTGAAAGATAGTATTTATTATTTAGCTACTGCAAAGTAAAAATCAGTGTTTGTTGTTGTTGTTATCATCATTCAAGTACAACTAGGTAGGAATTTCACTTCATTGCTTGATCCTCTAGCAAATCTCTTTCCCTATGAAGCTATTGTCAATGGAAGTTAACACAGGAGGCTGCTATCTTAATTTGAATTTATTAATGTTTTTTAACTTTTTTTCTGATTGTAATGTGGGGCTCTGGCTTAAGCTTTAATAGTTCTGAAAAGGAAGAAGTGAGTAACTGTGCTTCCTGCTTACAGGTTATTTTACACCCAGGTATATGACAGGCCCACACAATCACAAATAAATCAATACATGAAGAACTCCTTTTCCTCTTCTGGGCTTCTGAACTGAAGGATGGGATAGTCCCTCTGAAAATGTGACTGTCAAACTACAGGCAAGCAACAAAGAAAGATTACCTTGGAGACAATTTACAGCCACGCTGCAGGTATGCATTCAGTGTCCCAGTTGCTGCTAGCAACAGTCCAAGGTATGGAGGTGAAGGTTTCATAGGTCTTGAGGAAAATTCTGGGTGGAACTGAACTCCCACAAAATATGGGTGATCTGCAAGGTAGACATCAAAGAAAATTACACAATGTAGGAAGAAGATAGTAGAAAAACTTTTAGGAAAAACCGTTATTGAAAATTTCAGACTAGTGTCCAGAAGCCAGAGCAGCACATGTCAAATTAAGGGTGAAGCAGCAGAAAACTTCTTTCCACAAAAAGCAACTGACAAACAACAGAGCAGAAGGTTAGTAAACTAAGGAAAAATCATCCTCTGATGCATAAAAACTGAATAATACACCTCTACCAACATGTAAGGGTGGGGGGAGAGTGGCACACACAAAGTTTACATTTATCATGTTATTTTCATAGTATTTTGGTTTCCAGTATCTATTTATGTATGCCTATTCAGAACAATATGCTCAAAGCAGGGAAAAACTCTAAAGTTAAATAAGTTTGCTGACAGCTTTGTCTAGCCAAGATTTGAAGGTCTCTGCTGCAAGGATGAAAATTTCACAGACTCCCTAGGTAATACACTCTAGTAATGTCATATACTGGATGTATACACATTTCATAAATGAAACATGAACTGGGAAAAATGAAACACATGCTGGGACCTGGCCAAGAATATTTGAGGGTCATGCAGGGTAATGTCACTGTGAAACTGGCATATAGATAAAATCTGTATAAGGCCAGAGGTCTCTGATGACTGGAAAAAGGCAGTCACCATGCCCTTCTTCAAGACAAAAAGAAGGACCCAAGGAACCACAGAATATTCCTAACCTTCCGAACATGAAGGTCAGCAAGACTGGCACAACAACCCTGAGAAGAATCTGTCTTTGGATGCAGGGAGAGCACTGGCTTTCCTTAATTCTGACTTTAGCAAAGCTTTTCATATGGTTTCCTACCCCTTAAGTTGGAAGCTGTGGACTACAGCTAGGCCACAAAGTGTGTTAAAAAAATGGCCAGACTTCTGGATTCAAAGAAAAGTGGTGAATGCTTTGAAGTCCAAGCAACAGCATACTTGGAGGTACTGAAAACTTGACTGATGCCACTCTGGAGAACCTGACCTACATTTGAAGGTAGCCCTGTGCTGAAGCAAAAGGTTGGACTACATGACCTCCCAAATCACTCGATGATTCTACACAGCCAAATTGCCCTGAGCTAGATTTAGGGCCTTTTGGAAAAGGAGCACATTTGTCCCACATAATCAAATACATGCACAGTTCTTGCAAAGTGTAAGACTTTTCCTAACCTACTCTGAATTTTCACCCATTGTAATACACAAGTGGAGTTAGCAGTATCCCCCAAAATTATCTTGGCTGATAAGACAGCTGAATATTGTGTCTACATGTTGTTCAATGACCTATAGTTCATACAGTTTTAGCAGATGCAATATCACAAACAAGTAAGACACTCACTCTCCAGTTCAATAATTTCCATCCTGTTCCCTTCTGTATCATGGCCAACAAATTTCAAACCTTTCTCTTCAAAGCAGTGAGTCAATTCTGGGTTCACCTGAAACATTGAAAGCAGTAACAGTGGTAGTTCTGTTTATTTTTGGATTTAACAAACAGAAGCAGTTGATTGTAATGATTTTTACATGCATACAAGAATTAAGAGAATTGGGTAAGGGCTGGGAACTTGTGATTTCTTGTTTTAACAACTCTGGCATAAATTTGTAAAAGTGGACATGTTTATTACATGGAGCTGAATCAGTAATTTTAAAAGTTACTATGCAATATTCAAAAATTAAATCCAGAGTCCCTTCTGCTTGCTGCTGTTCTGAATCCAAGCAGCCTGAATTCCCCCTTTTTAAATGTCCCACTAGATGTCCACTGACCATCCCTTTGAACACAGAATTTCAGTGGTTATGACAAAAGCTGTGATGCAGCTCTTCCTTCAAACTGAGGAGCTCTGCAGTGAGCTGTCTCATTTCCTTGATAATGTTTTAACCACTCAGTTTGGATATTTTAACATCCAAATGTGAGCAGGTTTGCCACCATCACATTCTCCTCCCTTTTAAGGAAGGTTAATATTGTCTGAATCAGTTACAGCATGCACATATCTGATAGTTCAAGGCCCTTTAGAGACACTGATGGAACTACCTCAGAGAAACTCCAGGAAGTCCACTTCGTGTGTGTCTACTTGAATGTCAGTATTCTGAGTCAGTATTCTGAAAGTATTCAGGCACCTTATCCCAGATGTTTGCAAACAGAGGAGTGGACCCATACAAAGGACAGTGCTTACCTCATATCGATGCCTGTGTCGCTCCTCTACAAACATTTCATCACCATAAAGCTTCCCTGAATATACAACAAAAGAGAAATTAAAAGCCCATGTGTTGTTTTAATAGTTGCTATAATTATTCCTTGTAATTTAAACCTCAAAGAAGTCACATTTAACACTTGTTAAACACAACAAGACATTATTCATCTCACTGTGTTTTTCTGTTCTTCCTGAGTGATGACTAGTTTCTTTTAATTCACTGTTCCCTGAGTTTATTCAGGATTCATATTCAACATTCCTTGACTAGAAATAGCTTAGGCAAACCAGAATCTAAACACACTTTAGCTCATTTAAATTGTAAAGCTTAAAAAAAAAAAAATTCAGAGTGAACCAGCAATGTAAAATCTCTTCAGGGTTTTACAACACTTGCACACAAAAGATGCAGGGAAGGAAGCCTTTTAGGAGCATCTGTTCCATTTTAATAGGTTATGCATGGCACCTGGCATAGTACCTCCAAAGAACAGAGAATATTGCTTTTCTCTGTTTTCCTGATCTCATTACCCAAATGACTCTGGCAGTCTTCTTTGCGTCATCTCGAACACTCCACATTTCACAGCAACAAGGAGCAAATCTGAGATATGCAGTAAACCAGATTTTAATCATATCTCTTACTTATAATCATGGCCCAAACTTTGCTCTCAATTTACGCTACGGTCATGAGAATTACTGTCTTGCTAGGGGGTTGGTACATTAATTAAACTGCAAAGAACATCTTCAAAAATTGTAGAATAGTAGTACTGCCATTTTACAAAAAATGGTGCATTTTTTAATTTTAAGGGACCACCTTTTCAAAACTATTATTCCCATCCAAGTTATAAAGCATAAGAAAAAGAAATCAGATTTCCTGATTAAACTATGATAGCTTTTTATTATTATTTCCAAAGACCTAAACAGATCTAACCAACTCTTAATACTGGTCAAGATTTACAACACATGTTAATTTTTATTAACTTTTTCAAGAGGTGTTAGGTCACACAACAACTTGTACATTGTGACATACATATCTATATCAGACATAGGCAAAGTATTACCCAGGCTAGTTAGATCACTAGTATGGGCATCTCTAGAATTGCAGATTTTTTTATTAAATGTGTATATGGTATTACAGTATGGTCTCCTGCTGAAGTAGATTTTTAAATACTCAGAAAGATACATTCCTTAAGTTTAACATAGCCAAACAGGGAATACCTCAGATCGATATCAAGGGCGGGGCAATATAAGAAATAAATACATATTTAGTCAATGGACAAGAAACTACTTTTTACAATTTTTCAGCATCATCTATATTACTACTGTATAATGGGCTGATTAATAGAAGACAACTATTACTTCAATTTTAAAGTACGCAGAGATCAAATTAAATATTTTTTTCTATATTCTGGTTGCTTTTATTTTGTTATCTGAAGCATCCAGTTACAACAAATAATTTTCCTTTTCTCTAGCAGATACTTTGCTTTCCCAAAACAAGGCTGCTTCTGAGGCCAGGCTAGAAAATAGGAAGAAATCACTCTGACCTTCCCAAGAACATAATTAATTAAACTGCCATGAAAAGGATTTCAGTTTTCTCAACATTTTACTCATTGTTTTTAAAAAAACATTGGACGCCCAATGACAGTTTCACTGCAAGTTACAGAGGCCTCTCATTTCTTTTTTTCACTCCAATTCTCACTAAATTTAAATAACAGGATCAGAATGAATGATCTCAGGGAAGCTGCCACCTGTTTGCTTAAGATTATAGCACTTTTGATTTTCCATGTTACAAAACTCCTTTCCAATATGCAAAGTCATAAGAGCAGAAAAATAACTTACTTAAAACAGAATTTTCAGTTTTAAAAACAGTCCTCCTCTTCCCCAGTCTCATTGTTCCTCCCATATCTCCAGGATTGTGTTCTGGCATGTCAATAACCTGTAGAGAAAAGTTGCTCACTGTTTCATTCAACAAATAAAAAAATCCTAAAACAAACAAGCCTAGCCCAGCAAGTTGCATAGATTTTTAAGTGGCAACTTTACATATTTTACCTCCAACCATTCTCAATCATTATTTCTCTTTTGTTTTTCTAATGTTTGGTTCTTCACTACTGCATTGTAATAGACTGACAGGGTTAACTAGTTTGTGAGAAATGTTTTCATTTAATGTTAAGATTAACAAAAGCAACTAATTTCTTATTTTAATTTTTTGGGGTGGAAAAAACACCTTTCTTTTAAAAAAATATACCAGAATGTTCCAAATAGGATAACTCTGCCCAAAGCTATTCTTTGTACTAAGACAGTACACAGATTTTTAAATATTCAAATTCATAGACCAAAAATGTCCACCAAGTGATAAAGACACCAAAACAAAGTCCCTGAACCTCACAGAGGCTGAAAGATTATACTTATTAAATATGGGTAAATAACACGGGTAAATAGTCACGTATTTCTTATATTGCTTCTTCTTATGCTAAGAGGCAGAAACAGCTGTGGTATCAAGTGGGAAGACAACCAACCTCTTTCTTGGGAAGCAGGAAGAGGGGAAGGGCATGCAGCAGCAGAGGGAAAAGAGGACACTTGTAGAGAGAGGATAATGTTGTAAAAGCAGAGTATGGGAAGAGGTGACTCCAGTGTGTGTGTGTGCTATTTCAGATTATACACATAACTAATTTACCACAGAAAATAGAAAAACATTCCTCCCCCTTCAACTCTGGTAAAGGTTTTCTCAGATTGCTGAAGAATTAACAAAATACTGGGTTGCCTTGTACTAAGAATATGCTATTTAACATAAAATGTAAATACAAGGATATACAAATACTGTGTTTGAGGATTGAAGCAGATGGGTCAAATGGCTTCTATGTGGGTCAAGTGAAATCAGGATATTGGGATTCAGGCCATGTGAGAAATCACAACTTAGTGGAATAAGTGTACTTAGTTTTGCTTAGTTTGTAAAACCTTGCAGGTCTCACAATCCAGTTTAGAGAAATCTGTCTAAGAGAGATAAAATAGTTTGAAATTGTAGAAACATGAGCTGAAGTCTTGACCTATGTACTTGTATTCACATAAACACAGTCAGTGAGAAATGTAATTGACAAAGAAAAGTTCTAAAAATACAAATATTCACACATATGGGTAATCTCAAATGGATTTATATTAACCTTAATTTGCCCTCTGAGAGTAATGAAAACAATTTCTGATGATACACTTCATAAAGTGAAGTTATTCAATTTAGGAGGGATGGTGGAAAGTGCTTAACCTTTGGCCTTATGCCAATGCATTTCAGCTGTGTAATTATCTCTGTACAACCTTATAACTTCAAAATGTTATTTATAAGCAATATATTCATTATAAAATGTCATGAGCAGGAGTTGTGATCAAACCAATGGGATATTATGGATTCTTCAATTACCTCTCAAATCACAAAAGTGAGGACTGTGCAAGACATTGAGCTAAGGCCTCCTCGACATATACAAAAAATAAAAGAAAACCCATTCACTGAATCCTTATTATTTTAAAAGCATGACATTTACTGAATTTATTTTATTTCCTTTCATTTAATTTCACTTTTTTTCCTGAAGCAGTGGTCACAGAAAAAGAGGAGGGTCTCAGAAGTAGAGCATCTGCTCTACTCAAGGCTTCGGTCATCATCTGGGTCAGAGCCCCACATGGCACTGCCAGACCCTACAAAAATTTGGCTGGAGAAATGGTCTCACAGGGAAGGTTCAGGTGAGTTTCAACACTGTGTCTGTGTGTTTTGAGCTCTCCATCTCTCCCAATACTGTCACATTAGTAAGAAATGGATAAGGTTTCATACATTAACTTTTGTTGTCGGGTCACAAAAGGAGCTATTTATGAATTGATGCCTTGGAACTGATTTGGCCCTGTGGCCCAGATGAACTCCAGCAACTACAACAGAACAGCCCTCAGTATTACTTGTTTATGTATTACTTGACTTTCTCTGCAACATCTGTGCAAGGAGCTTTTGAAACTAAAGTGGCACTGCTGCCCTACAGCCCAACTGAAGTGATGAAAATCAGAAAAGCAATGCCATATTAATCGAATATTTTGCCATATTATACGGAATTTATTTGATCAGAAAAAGAAGAGCTTTCAAATAGTGGTCATTTTGAACACCTGTGCGACTGAATAGATTCTTCAAAGAGCTTATGTTTCCTGGCACAGAATAAATCAGCTCTTCCTATGCATTAGCTCTTTGAAGGGCAGAGAATAGCACAGAACAGGCACCACAAGCAACAAAAAAGTATCAATAGGGTGGATGCAAGAATATATAAGACATCAGTTAGGTCTTTCTTACCCAAATCTCTGAAAACTGCCAACACTACAGGGATTTTATAGAGATTTTATATGTATTATACCAGACAGCAAACATGAAATTAAGAATGAATCACTGTAACACAACACAAAGCACATTCTAGATATAAAGCAGTCTGATCAGTATTAATTCATATTACTAATGAATAGTGACTTCAACTATCCATGAACAGAAATATTCTTTCAGATATCTACTGCCTGGATTGTTTCACTGTTGATAGAAAACATAAAAAAGCTAATGAGAAAACCTTTCAAGCCCTGACACTCAACACAGAGCAGCCAAGGCTTTAAAAGCCCCACACTTACCATTTTAGCAATCGTGCCAAGACCATTACATTTTATCTTTGTTTTGCCTCATGTTCTGCAATGCCATTTTGAGAAATTAATCTACTCTGGTTACCTTGGCAGGAGAGGAGGAGGGAGTAGGGGGTGTCTGGCTGGGTTTTATTTGCAGGCTTGGTTTTTGAGGAGTTGAGGAGGGAGATGAGCATGACTTGAACAACTGATAGCTCAGCAGCTTTGGAAGCATGCTTTTACAACTTTGGGGTCTAGGTGGTTTTGTCTTTTTACTCTGCCCTCGACTGGTGAGCATAAGATTTATCAAAGCTGAAATAAATTACTACACGTGTAAGTGCTGATCAAAGCATCAGGAGATGCCATGGCCCTGGAGATTACCTGAGCACTGAGAAGAGGCTCTGAACACAGCACACATGAGATTGTGTAGAGGGAAAGCTGACAGGAGCAGGGAATGCAGTGACAGGTACTGATGAATACTAATCCCTGCTGAACACAGCTATGAAAAAAAATCTAGCAGCACAAACTGACCAGGACTCAACCCAAACTTAAGGAACTCATTCTTTTATTGGCTCTTCCATCATTTTTCTGCTGGATTAGTCAGTAGTTGCTAGATTTGATCAAATCAATCAATCATAAAAAAAAACCCCAGACACCTACAATGGGATGTTTATACTAACATCTATTCTGTTTTAGAAACAAACTTAGTACAAATATTTTAAAGAAAAAGTTGACAACTGCAACAATACCAGGGACACTGGGAGCTTCCAACTTGGCAAGAAAACCAAAATGACAGACTTTCCCTGTTCATTAAAAATTAGGGTTACATTTTCAGTTACTGAAAGAATGTGCAAATATTACACCTAGCTCCCTTGCTGCCTTTTCCCCAGAGATGTCCCAGTTCCAAGCAAACCACATCACTCCCACCCATCTGAAGCACTCAATGCTCTAGGACTGAATTAACTGACAACATAACCACTTGCAGATTTCAGACTATTTGGTGCTCCATTACTCTAACTGAAGTAATGTTGTTTTTAAAAGGATGTCCACCATCATGTGTAAAATCAAAGCAGAAATTATCAATAGCTGATTCATGCAATTACATACTGATACAAGTAACCAGCTTGAAAAATCTTCTCTTCAATAAACTACAGCACATATCCAAACATTCCAACAAGTACCTGTTTAAATTTCTTAAAACTCTTAAAACCCCATAGAATACTACTGTCAACTGTTTTCCAGTTTGGGTCATCCTCCTCTCCACAGATTTGTTGTTTCCTATTTTAGAATTAAGTAACTGCCATGAAGCATTTATTTATTAAAGGCTAAAAGCTCTCTAAGGATTCTGTCTAAGCAGAAATTCTGCTACAGAATGTTTTGTAACATTTTCTCTAGAATTCATAAAGGGTGTGGCTACTTTTCAAACAGTGCTTACTCACTCATAAGCAGAGTGCAATGAACTGAGGAAGTTAATGGAGATGTTGATATGCAAAGCCCATAAAGATATTGCTTAACAGCATTTTGAGAACTCATTCAAGTTATTCCAAACACATGTCCCAGAGCTGGCTTAAAGACTTAATTAAGCAGAAAGTTTCAGACTGTTAGCATTAGTGAAAGGCACAGGATCAGATAGTGCTGGCTATAGATATACACTGGAGTGTCAGTCACACCATGCCACCAAGGGCAGGATTTGCCACAGACTTGAATAGCTAAAAAGGATGTGCAGGAGTGCTCTCAGACTTCAGACTGGTCCATCTCACATCTTAACTAATGACTAAATACTTATTTAATTTCAGAAAGATCAGCAAATCTATAGCTAGGTGAAATCCTTCATCTTATCATATACATTTAAAAAAAAAACAGAACTCTGTCACTGCCTTTGAAGAGGACTTTTCCAGCTTCAATTCCTAGTAAGTATAATTCTGCACCTACTAAATGCCCTTAAATCTGTATCAGGTATATCAGAAAGAGGAAGGCATGAAGCAAGTCTGTGTCTCTGAGCATCCTAAAGACAGGGGTGAACCTAGAGTGTGAGATAGAGCCTGGTGCTGTCTTCACCAAACACCCCACCCACAATGGTGAGACAGGAGTAATCAAACACAGCCTGGGCTGTTTGAACAGTAGTGTGCTTGGGTGGTCTCTGACTCAGAGAATTATATCCTGCACACAACTACCATGGAAGAATGGGCTACAGACAAGCCTCATTACCTAAACTACGCAAAGCAGCCATGGAAACATGAGATTGTCCCTGGTAGAGACAAAGCACAACAGATGTTTTACCCTCAAAATTGTCTAGTATTCTGTACTTGC